AAAGGATCCCTGACCTCACTTATGTCACAAAATAGAACATAAAAACCACCGCCTGTTCAACAGACTGCCCTCATGTGGCAGCAACACGCTACTACACATAGCTGTGCTGTTTCTCCTGCTTTTCTTGCATATTTATTTCTATTTTGAGGTTGATTAGCTGCAACAGGCTTCAATAAAAAAAACTGAGGGTGCATGTTCAAAGGTTGCGTCTTGTCCACATTGGCTGCGACAGTTTGTCCAAACTCCTATTTAGTTTTCACACTGCCTGACCTTTAGCACACTGAATAAACTGATTCTCTTTGTATCTTAAGAGCTTCTTGTGCCTTTGTGTGACTGTGTGGGCAACACTTCTCAGAAATGGAAAAGCTTCAAAGCAGCATTTACCTCCTGAGAGCGGACTCTCATCCTGCTCAGACTCTGCTCCATTAGTGAACCGCGCTGGAATCTGCTGCTGTTTTACTTTTACATCCACACATCAGTCATTCCCAGATTCCAGCTCTCTTTCCCGACAGCAGAGCCAGTCATTCCCTCTGAATGATGATCCACTACTCCCTGTTCTCATTGTCTGACTCATTTTTAGCTCATTAAATCACCATGTAGGATTCTGTCTCTGTAAATCAGACTACACAGTCCAACCACAGGAACAACAACCCCTATTAAAGTATTTAAAGGGGACTTGTTATGCAAAATTCACATTATGCATGTTTTTGTACTTCCATTTGGGTTTCTACTGCTTCTGCACCCCAAACACCTAACCGGTTTTTGGCAATAGTTAATATTTGTTTGGTGTCGGAAAAAAAAACCTAACCATTTCAAACCTTCTGAATGTAACCTCACAAATCATCAGGAACTGCCATTCACCTAGCAACCCCAGGTTAGTCCAGCCTGTCACCAAACAGCTGGTCATCTGGTCACCTTAAACCAAAACTACAGATGACTAAAACCAAAAATAAAGGCAGAAATATAAAAATTGCCTAATAAATAAATGAAGTAATTTAAAATACACCAAAAAGAAGAACATTACCTTATGTCTTATTATTTGGTATTCATTTTTATTTTTTCAGTTTAATTCCAATAAATGACATTTTTACGCTCATAATTTAAATTTTGCTGGTTTTAGAAATGTTTTTTCTTTTACTTACAGATGCTTTTGTGTCTCTTTAATTGTTTTTCCTCCACAATTCCTTTTATTGTATTTTTTTCTTGTTAAATTTTTCTGTCTCCTCTTTTTACTTCATATGTATCTCTGCCTCATTATGCAAAATGAGGAGGGGTGGTGTTTAAAGACTTCAACTTCTACCTGTTGGCTGGGTAGCATTACAGTACTCATAGCCCAAACCTATGAATCTACAAAATGCATATATAAATCAAAATCAATTAGTCTATTTTAAGTATTGATTTACTTATTGAAACTTTTATATGTTTCTGCTTTTATTTTTAATTATGTCAGTTTTGGAATTACATATCCAATGGCTACTAGAAAAGACAAGTGTTTAGTTGTGAACTTACCATTCAGAAACCACTTGCATTTTTGGTTGTACAGGAGGCTTCACTTGTGCTTTTCAAAGATGCATGGTTGTATAATCGCATCTTTGTTTGCATCCATTTTCGTGTGCATCAGTAAAAGTTGAATTGTGGGGGAGGGGCCAGCAGCAACTTATTTGGATTTAAAGCAACAGAGCCCTAAAACAGCTTATTCTGAAAGGAGCTCAAAATAGGCAAAACTGAGCATATTAATTTCTTATTTTCTAAGAATGATTTTGTCCAAAATCATTCTTAGAATCAGAATCATCAGTCTATGGGTTACATGTTTTATGTAACCCATAGACCTTTCCTAACCTGCTAAAGGAAATATAGGTCACCTTTAAACATCACCCTCCTCTCCTTTCTCTGTCTTTTTGCTCTCAGTCTTGAACTGATGACTCTTCTAAATGAGACCTGCAGTCTGTGTCTCTAATGTTTCATCTCCACTGAGCCTGTAGGAGAGCAGCAGCTGACAGCAGCTGAGACAGCAGCTGAGAGCTGAGAGCTCACTGCCTGGTTTTGTAACATCATCCGTTCGACTTGTGTCCAAGAGGCCCAAAGGGAAAAGATTTTTTGTCCCCATTTTCAGTCATTTAAACTCACTGGAACTGTCTTGGACTGTGCTGCTCCATGAGCTTGGCCAGTTTACATTCCTCACAGCAGCTGATCCATTTCATAGTTGAAAGATTGTAAAACTGATTTAAAGGATAAAAAGCAAACTTTTGTGCATGTGAAGAAGGTTTTTTAATGAATGATGTGCATGAGAAAGCAGACTCTGGTCCAAACGGTCTCTTGGCCTGTTTTTTTGAGTGTTCTAATTAATAAAATGAACTGGGATTTAGGATTGGAAATACAGGTTTGCAGTAAACCAATGTAGACAAGCTTCTGGAGATTTATTTGTAGTGTACAAATCAGACTAAATTTAGCTGCTCATCATCCATCCATTGACTATACCAAGGGTGTGCAATCTGTGGCTAGGCACCAAAGCAATATTCTTCCTGACATCAAACTTGTTTTTATCTGGCACCACCTGTGAAGAATCAGAGTACACAGATGAACGAGGTGATTTGCCACGTGAAAGCCTCATGGCTTCTACCTCAAGCTGTTTCAGTTTAATCTCTTTGTCAGCTTTAATTTCCAATTTGTGCATTTCAAGTTTGAAATCAAACTCAGCTTTTCTTACCAACTCCCTCTCCTGTGCCTCCAACTGTAGGCGAGCCAGCCATTATCACTGGAGTCACTGAGCTCTGGTGACATAGAATTGAACTGTGGTAAAGTCGCAGGGGGCGCCTGCAGTTCTGCCAACCCCTATGGGGGAGTTGCCATTACAGCAGCTCCTTCATCTTTAAAAGGAGGGAGTCCTAGATCAACAGAAGGATCACCACAAACATACACATCAATTTTGCTCGAGTCAACCAGGACTTTAATCTCAACCAGTTTTTGAACAACAATGTTTTTAATTTCAGCTTTTGAAAAAAAAAAAAAATCACTGGAATGTCATAGTGTTCAGCCAGACATAAGTCGTCCTTACGACACATTTCCAGCTGTTCATGGCTAGGAACCTGTACGAACTCCTCTAAGCTGAAGCTCATTTCTAAACGGACACAATGATCTTTCAAATTATTGTGGATGTCTACAGCTCAGGGAAAATGGTGATCCCCGACAAGCCCCCACTTGTGTTATGGCCCCCCCCTTGTGAGGAGAAGGAGAGTAACACGACAATCACAAAAATTTGACAGAGTCCAAGTGAATGTGATAAAAAAAAAAAAAAACCGAGGGATTTATTTACACAAAAATCCCAGAAGGCTCATACAAACTGTGGGGGAGAAAGGGACAGTTAGGTGGTGCCAAATCAAAGAAAATAATAAAACAGGGCCTAACTACCGTCTATGCTAAAGAAAAGAAATAGAAAACAAAAACCCTGCTTACCTGATCTAACAAAAGTTTCACCAAAACTTTACATGGGTGGCACCCACCTACTTACCTAGTGTTTCTAACAGAAAAACACCTACGTGACTGAAATGTACAGGTTACCCCAAACTTACCTAGTCCTCTAACTCCCACCACAAACCTTTACACAAAGAGCACCAACAAGACATGTGTCAGCTAGCCAGTCAGATAGAGCAGCTCTCAGTTACCTAGGTGGGCTGTTTATATATTCAGGCTCCCTGGATACTGATTGGCCCATGAATGGAGAGGATCAATCAGGGGAGACTGACACCAGCTTTCCTACTACCTGTGAAGAAACAAACAAAAGAAGGGGTAGGGAAAAGGAAAACACAAACAGCCTTTCTTGGACCGCTTCTTTTTATTTTTACTGGAATAAAAATTAAGTAGAGCTACTCTTACTTGAGTACATTTTCTGGGTGCTCAACCCACCTCTATCAAATAAGAAATGTTGACTGAAATGAGAAAACTACAAGCGAAATGCTCAGCCTTTTGATGCTTTTGCATTGGGACAAACAAACTTTAAGTTTTCACATTTTTTATTACTACACTCTGGCAACAAATGGTGGAAGTCAGAAAAATATATGTACTCTGAGATTAATCACCATCAGCGTGCTTATCTGTTTTTCTTATGAACATGACACCACAGTATTTCAGTGAAGGATCTGCAAGGTTTTTTCTTAGGTTAGACTCATAAATCATTACAAAACTGTCCTTCAACCCTCCTTGTGTCTTTACATTATCTCTCCCACCCCCTTCAACCCCCATCCCTTCAGGTCATAGACTGCTGCTACCAAGACAATGATGGGGGGATGCTGCCTGGTTGCCATGGTTCTGCTCCCTGTAGGGGTGTTAGTGTGTACCGGAGGGGGTTTGGGATTGATTTGTCTTGGCAACAGTTTTATTGAACAGCAGATTCCCTCTCCTGCCAGACAAAATGGTTTTTTGTTTCTAAATCCGACATCGGGAGGGGTAAAGCATTCAACTAATGTCAGATTAACATACAGAATCAGCATGAAGAGCAAATACACCAGAGTTGGGAAGAAACAAGCTGAATTGGTGGTCATTTTCCTGAAAAATGATGTTGAATTGTCAGCATATCAGTCTGTTGCACAGAAAGTGTCTGTCTAGATGGCATGAACATGTCAAACATAAGGTTGTATTCATCATTGTTTGGTTTTTAATTTTTTTTTTAACATACTTGATCTAATTTACGATTTAATTTTTTACTTTTTGCATTTCTACTAAACAAATTACAAATGACAGAAAATGTTTTGAAAAAGTGACTTATTTCAATCATCTCTTCTGTGAGTTGTACAACAGAGTGTCAGGGCCAGGCTATGAGAATTTTTGTTTATTTACGAGAATATAGTCATGGTATTAGCATAATAAAAAACTATTTCACCAGACGAACGACTTAGAAATACAAGAAAAAAATATTTTTTTAATGAGAAAGCTCAGTTTGTGTGGTTCTTTGTTCTTTCTGTTGTTTTCCCGACACATTTCAAAATCTTGCTTCTGATAATAATTTGATGCTGATGTTTTAAAAGACGAAGTATTACCTCATCTGTAACCTTATCTGGAACGGACACCAGAGTATAACTTCACAAAGTGATCATAGTTCATGTGTTAACATCACTGAACTCCACTGAAGAAGAAGAATCCAAATTATTAAAAAATTAAATATTCAAAAGCCAAGAATTTAATATATTGATAAAATCATTTTATCACCTACCCCTAGTTTTGAATATATAAAATCTGCATTTATATTGAAAACTATCTGCTCAGAGCTGTAAAAGGATGAATTGACCTTCACATGTGTATTTGAAATAAAATGTAGATGCTCTGCTCAGTGAAAGTGCCTGTTAGAGACAAGAGTTTTGCCCTGATTGGATGCACACTGGCCTGATGAAAATGTTGTGGATGGAGTCTGATTAGTTGATGAACTCAGCCCTCATCTGTCTTCATTATTCAACTCATATTTCATCGTTCCATCTTGACATTTTTTCCACTTTTATCTGTGATTCTTTTCTTCCTCTCATGAGGTGTCCTCTCTTTTTCCACTTATCTTCCTCCTAAGCTGCTTTCAGACAAACACACTAGGAGCAGTTTCTAGGTCATGAGGACTTTAAATGAATAGTAAGCTGCTGTCTGCTTTAAAGAGAATTATTTATAGATAGAGACTTGTGCTCTGTCACCATCTCAGTCCTAAACTCTTCCGTCTTTTGTCTCAGGCTGTTTTTGTTTGTCATCTTTTCATTTCCTAACAGCCTGTTTGTTTCTGCCTGTGGAACTCTTCAGTTGCCTCTCAGTCTTCTGTAACTGTTGTAGTGTTAATAACGGCAGATACAAACCACATATGTTGATAGATAAACACTCAGCGTAAGTGTTGTTGAAATATTCAAGCCAGACTTTGATCTTTTGTCTTACAGCTTTCTCACTCATTTTCTGTACATTTTTTTTAAATTCTTTATTTTTGAGGTATTGAGAAGATTACAAAAGCACAGTTTCAGTCTGTGATCAGATACAACATTCCTTCTCCTTACAATTCCAATTACAAAAGCAAAACAAAACAAACAAAAAACAACACAACGCAAATAAAATAAAACAAAAAGGGGAGTAAGGGGGTATTGTTTTGGAAAGACATACTTTTATGTATATAACTAAGTACATTATATTGTAAATAGACACTTCCTGAAGGATGAAGCCTTTCTTTTTAAATTCTCTTCAATCTAGTGCATACTGTGTTTGGTTGACATATGACATCCATTTGGACCACAAGGTAATAAACTTATTCATTTGAAAACAAATTAGAAATGTTAATCTTTCCATCTGATAGATTTCATTAACACACTCTATCCATTCTTCTACAGTAGGAGGCTCACGGAGGAGCCAGCGTCTGGTGACAGTTTTTTTTACAAGCCGTGATTAATATTTGAAACAGATATTTTGTGTTGTTAGGTAGGCATTCTGTGTCACCTAGAATAAGACTAGTAAATTTAAAAGGTATTTTTATATTCAAGATATTTTCCATATTTTTGTGTATTTCTACCCAATAATGTCTTATAATTGTATAGTCCCAAAATATATGCCAGTGGTTGGGTTCTGTGTTTCCACATTGCCTCCAGCACTTATAGGCTCCCTCCTGGTATGAGAGATTTTCTGTTTTGGTGTTACAAAAAAATCTAAGCAAGCATTTCCAGTTAAATTCTCTCCATGAGTACAAATTGGTACATCTCCAAACTGTCATGCAGTAACTGTGCCACTTTTCTTCTGGTATTTTCATTTTACTTTCCTTTTCCCATTTTGTTTTCACATATAAGAAGAATGTGTTTTTTATTCATAAGCCCCTTACTGTGATATAATACCTTTTTTGGATTTGGCCTGATTTGCCGTTAGTATTTCTTTAAGCACTGGTTCCCATTTTCTGTACATTTTAAGAACAACATCTCAACTCCTGAGCTCAAGGAATGAGCTAATGTTGTGCTGATAAATGACAGCTAACTTTCTAAAGAATACATTACAGTTTGCATTATGTTACTATCAGCTTTTTGTTAAAAAGACAAGTTTTATTCCCATATTTTTTGTGGATGGGAAATGGAGCGTGGAGGCTTGTAAAGTTAATCCCAGAATTCTGTGGTGTAGAAACTACTGAATTAATGTTTTAACATAAGTTAAGCTAATAACCTTATTAGCTCATTAATATTAAAAATGAGGGGAAACAATCAATACAGCAGTATATATAACTACTAAGCTGAACTCCATACATGAAGGTTTCTGAGGAAAAATGTTAAAGAATTAGTTGTTAAATAGCTAACACAATTAGCATAAACAACCAAAACAGTCACTGAACAAATTGATTATAAAGGAAAGAAAACAAAAACAAAGCACTTCATTAGATTCTAATTTAGTTCAGTAGGGTAAAAAGGAGACAACTTATCAAAGAATACTGAAATGCTCTCAAAAAGCTGAACTGTCAGTCAGCTTTAGCATAATGTAAAATCTGTGAAGCTACAGAAACAAAAACAAAATAGGATTGTAGCTCCAACATCTAGAATCTTCTCTGTCATGTGCATAAAGACTGCACATTTTAATCAGGCCAGTGTTTCAGTCGATACTTTACATATAATCTTTTCAGAAAGCTTTGTAACAGTTGAGCTTAGTTGGATGTTTTCAAGACAGTCTGGCTTCAAGGCTGTGATTGGTTCTGATTAAGGTCCAGCCATTTTTGCTTACTTTTCTCTTGATAATCTTTCTTTTTGCACTACAATCAGGCAAGTAGGCAATCCAAATTACTGGTGAGTTGTTGCATCGTCTGCCTAATTTAACCCCAAAGTGATAAATCATGTTGACTCCAAGATGTCTGTTTCATTACCCTAACAGGAGTAAATACAGCTGAGTGTGGGGCAGAGTTTTCTGCTGACATAATCAGAGAGGAAAATGAAAAAGAGACAAAAGCTGCAAAGTGACTCTGCAGAAACAGGATGGAGGGAGGCGAGCTGAGGTCAGGAGGAAGTCAGAGTATGACCAAACTAAAGCTTCAGATTCACACGGTGTGAGGTTGGCTGATAATCCTCACAGAAGCACATGGCACACCGTTTAATATGGAACAGAGGCCAGCAGTCATCTACTACAGTTCAGACTCTGTATCTTTATAGAATCTCTCATGGAGATTATATCGGCAGGAGAGGTTGATCTGCAAAAGAATCAAAAACTAATTCTGATTAAAAAAAAAAAAGATTATTTAAATGACAAACATTTAATGTGTTTAAGGCCACTCTTAGTTTGTAAATAATGTATTTTTGTAGATGCTTTGACTAATATCAAGTTCTATTTTAATCCCATTTTTACTTTAATGACTGTTTGCTCTTAGTTTTTTCTTTCTTCCTTTATTATCCATATTGTATTTGAACTGGGTTTTGATATCTGTAGTTTTAATTTGAAATTGTTGGTGTACTATGGCCAGTCTTGGCCAGGTCTCTCATGTCAAGATATTTTTAATCTCAATGAGATATACCTGCTTAAATAAAGGTTACATATGTACACACACTGGGAGGTAGACGTTAGGTTTCGATATCAGGGGTCTGTCTCCTTCTGATAGACTTTAGAAGATATTTATTAAACTATAATCATGTTTATCCCATTTTATTCTGACATCAGCCACAGATTATCAACAAATTCTTGAATATGTCTGGATGAAGGAAAATTTTTAAAGTTTTGCTCTTCTTGAGCTAAACATACAAACACATGTGTTGACTGTTTCTACCTGTTCTGGGTTTTTATCAGGAAGTCGCTGATTAGCTCAGTGATTTCCTGTAACCGCTGCGTTTCTAATGAATCTTTGCCTAATACCAGCCCCTCTCTGTGTTTCAACAGGGCCTTGTACACCTATGAGGATGAGAGTAATGACCTGACACTGGCTGCATCCGGAGGTATGTGTTTCCATCTCTTTTATTTCCCCTCACACATTTAGTCTCTGCTGGGACTCCCTCAGGAGGAACACATCGTTGTTGTAATTTCCATGTTTTAAATGGAAAATTTTACGCAAGGCAGTAAAGCTGATGAGCTCTCCAGGTCCTTCATCAAAACGTCAAACATTACCAAGTATTTTTGACCTAGTTTCTCGTGCAATTGTCTTAGTACACATGAAATAAGATGAAACTAACTTACAAGTAACATTAAAGCAAGATATAGAAGCTTGTTTTAAGTATTGATTATTGATTAAAAAGTATTAATTCCACTGACAGATTATTTCACTTAAACATTTTCCTATGTTTTCTCATATTTGCACCAGACACTAAACCAAAAATACTTGGTAAGATTTTGTTTTTGGAGTGCACTGCTGCTAACAGATCAAGGCTTCTTCTTTATATTTGATTCATTCTCGATTCACGATGCCATGTTGACACTGCAACTGTTGTGTGAGTGGTTCCTCATAAATTAGCAAATGTGCATATGGACCAAATGCTTCAACACCAGAGGAGAGAAAACTGCTGAAGCTTGGGTTTGTTATAAAATGTTCCACATTGGCAACAAATAGATCACTGAAAGCAGATCTGTTATCTTACATTTACGCAGCTATATTGCTTTCAGCCTGAAAAGAAGCTCCTGTTTTTGTTTGTATTACACAACAGTGCCTTTCTGCGCAGCTATGGAGAAGCATTACCTCATATTGTCCTGCTTTCAGTAATATTTAGATGCTGTAAACTCCAGATGTATCTGTATCAAGGGCACAAGTAAATACAATACGAATACCAACATTTGGAAGAGACCTAAAGCTAAACCAGAACCAGGAAGCTTAGTCATCTGGTTCAACCAGCAGGGGGCAACCTGTTGTATCATACACAAAGAAGTAGAGTTTTTATATGCTCCTTTAACTTGACACATTACAAACAAACCTCAGTGTGTTTTACTGGGATTCTATGTGACAAATCAACACTAAGTAGTGCAATGTAGAAGGAAAATAATATAAGTCTCTCCTCAAAATGTGGCTCTTTGTATTGAATACTCCAGGTTGTACCACCAAGCGCTTTGGGGTTTCAGCAACTTTGCATATCTTCAGCTTGAATTGGATGGAGAACATCTGTAAACATGAATGTTAGAAGTATTGACAGAGATTTTCAACTGAACTTTGGTCTGGACTTTGACTGAGCCATTTTAACACATGAATATCAGGGTGTCTACGCATCCTTATAAAGTCTTAAATTCAGCTATCTAAATGTAAGGTCTTAAAATGTCTTATTTTCTTTTTAAAAAGTAAGTTTGTGTTAATTTGATCTTGACAGGGCTATTTCATCTCATCAATTCAATTAGTGAGACTTTTCTGTCAGGCGAAAGGGTGAGTCGGACTCAGATGTCTTCATGGCATTCTGTGACTTGAGGCAGTTTGGGCTAGCTGCTAATATACCTAACTAGCTCATTTTTTGCATCTATCGTGGGTGGATGCAAATTTATTGCCTGTTGGCTGGACTAAGTTTGTACATTTCTGTGGAGACATAGGTCTTAAATTTCATTCATAATGCTCTCAAAAAGGTCTTAAATTTGAGTTGGTAAAATCTGCAGACAGGTGGTCGTAACTTGCTGAAGAAACTCTGTTGAGTTCTTTTTTTTTTTTTTTTTTTTTTTTTTTTAGAAAGTGTTGATTTTTCCACAGGCACCGGGGGGGGAGGTCAAAAAGACCCT